GCAATCCCAGTACAGTCACATCCATATATGTTAATACAGACACCCTATGGAGCACAATACCAAAGCTGAGCTACTTTGAAGCCTGCTAAATTTTTCCAATTGTATGTGCTGGTCTAGGAGCAAGGTTCCTTCGAAAGGAACCCAAGAAAGGCTCTCAGATGTCTTCTCGCATCACTCATCACTCCACCAACTTACTTTAAGTTGGTCCCTTCATGTCTTTTTGTATAACTACACCTAAATGCACACGGATAACTTCCAGCAGCTACTACTTCAGCACTGGGGAGAGTAAATTATGGTAGGGTTTAATCTTGTTTCTCTAGTTTTGTTTTTCCTAGTTCTCAGAAGAGGCAGTGTAGCTGAACTCAGGAAGGGCACCAGGATAATATTAACATTTTGTTGCCAATGGAACTGACTTCAGTAAATACTGCAAAGTACACATCTCTGAGAGACAGATTTATTTGGCTTGTAAACCATAAATTTTATCTGGCTCGTAGTCTTAATTTTTACTTGCACACTAGTCACAGAAACTCCAATCAAATTCCAGGCTTTATCCCCAATTGGCTAGACCACTACTTAGGAAAACATTTTTCCTTGTAAATGAGCAAATTTAATGTAGGAATCACCAGGAAACAAAAAAACCCCTCCTACGCTATTTTTCCAGTGCAACAGCATTTTTGGTATGAAAATGCAGAATGCTGAACAATTACCAATTTTTGACATAGTCAATGTTTTAAGCTTACCAAAGGGACCAAGATTTCACCTGTTTTTATGTTTACAAATGTATTTTCAAAACCGAAATAGGAAAAGACATTGAGGAAAGGAGCTTGACGGCACACCAACTACTCACATTTTCTCATTGTCTTCCTACAGCTCTTTTGCCTCAAAGTCTGACCTCACTTCTCTTCATTTTCATTATTATTTTTAAGAAAATTTTCACAACATCTGAATACCAGCACGCAGTCCTCTCAAGTTTTTAAAATTGTATTCTTTTTACCCTTTTCCCCCCTTCTTTGTGGCTTTCTTCTTTATTCCTCCTCCGTCTACTTTCACAGCTTACAGGTAATTCCCATCTTCATCCGTGTCACCGGATAATCTTCTCTGTTCTGCTTTCACTCAGTCTTCTCTTTCATCTTCTTATTCCTGCCTTCTGTGACCTACCACAGAAACAAATTCCTATTTATCTCTTTCTAACTTCCTCAAGTTGTTCCACCCTCTACCCTGTACAGTTTGTGGTGACTGTTCAAATTGCACGGTTGAATGTTAACAGATACTTGCATGCTGTTGACAGAACTAAACGGCTGCATCGACTCGGAATTAGTATAGATTTGCACAGGTTTAAATAGCTCACTTAATCCCACCAGTCTTTTGGCTGCCAAAGCGGTGCACTCGGCCAGATGTCAAATTGCAATGTCTTTGAAGGCTAACCTATTGCTTTTGGCAGTAGGATGCTAAAAGAGCTAATCAAAACCAGGGAGCATTGACCCAGATAGATCTCGAAAACTAGGACATTTTCAGCATAAATGAACTAAATCTATATGTAACTGTCTGCAACACACTCCATTCATATTTAGGGCCTAAGACTATTTGGAAGTGTGTTGAAGTAGGCTACCTGATCTTACTTTGTTTTTTAAAACGAAATCACTTGGGCAACTGATTTTCAAAACAAAGAGTCGGGCTGGTCTGGTGCCAAACACACTGTGCTCGTGTTTGGAGTACCACCACTGCTAAGAATGGGGAGATCAGCAAACACACGATGACAGTCCCCTCATATAACTCAAAACAGAAGAAAATTAAGAGTGAGGAGTAGATCACTGCCTATCGCTAAATTCTTCTTCAAACTGTATTAAATTTGAGGACTAAAAGACCAGCAGAAGCTCCATTTTGTTAGTTCTACAGAGCTAGCTGCTCCTTTATTTAGTGTTTTGAACACTAGACACCAATTTAATCGCTGTAAACTATTGTACTCATTGTATAGATTTTAAAAGATAAAAAATCTCTCCCCTACTATCGCAAGCTGGTTGTCTCTCTTGTAACACATGCTGCATATATGCCTTTGGATTTATAAGATCAGTTTGTTTCTTTTATTCATCCACTAGGATCAACTCCAAAATAGCTTATCTCCACCTATAAAATAAATTTTAATGAATATATTAACCAATTCATGTACAAATAAACCTACCTGTATCATCTGTTAACATGAATAGATGAGAAATTGATAAAGGATGCACTGATATACAAAAATACAACAATCTTTTGACATTTATTACAAGATATTACTGTTTAACTGATATGAATATAAAATTCCCTTTTAAAACAGAGATGTCTGAGGAATAAAAGAAAGAATAAAGAGCCTTTAAGAACATTTTGTGAGGCACTGCATTTCATTCAACACAGAATTTTATACTGTATAGACACTCAGAAAGGAAGAAAACATTATTAAAAAAACCTAAATCTAAAACTAAAGAATAGTTTTTAGCAGACAAAGCAACCAGCTTCTACACAAATATTTCAGATTTTTAAGCAAAAATTAAATATTCACTTCACTGTCAATATCAACTTTCACATAGTCAATATTCCACATTTAAAAACTGGATGAACATAAAAAGAGCAATTGAATACTAAATTTTATACTAACTGTCAAAGAAAAGAAACATAGAAAAGGAACACTGGTGCAGTATTGATGAGGTTTATTGTTCTGAATGCCTAGTGTGCATGCTGTGTAATCACAGTAAAAAATAAATACATCTGTATAACCGGGGAATGAATAGTGACTTTGCTGACTCATTCCAGATGTATGCACAATTTCCAGCCAAGCCAGCTCCCACGACAGAACAGAGCTGTGATGGAGGCGGAGGGGAACGGACTGAAAATCCTTTTAGAGGAACCTCTTCAATCAACCTGCTGTTAAATCACCATCTGCTGTTAATCACAGACTGCAACTACCGAACTGTAGGCATTAATAGACTTCCAAAATTTTCCAGCAGATGTCCTCACAAGGCAGTTGTGTCAGGGAGGTTAGAGATTGTCACCATTTAAAAAAATGTGTCATTTCACACAATACAAACATCAGATAAAGGATGGGAAGGAAAATAAATATAAAATAAGGGTGATATAAATATCCATATAGACAAACTGGAAATATTTTATTCTCAAACACCAACCTTAAAAATACAGACAATATTAAAAAAAAAAGACCATCACTCTAATGACTAAAAATGTCACCTGAGCAAATACATAACTCTAGCACAAGTTTAAAGTAGCATATCTATTTTAATTTTCAGTACTTCTTATTTTTCAGTTACATACAAAATAGAAGGTTCAAAAAGTGATAGTGAAAAGCCCAATCACAAGTTTCAGATGGAAAACAGCATAAAGACCTCTGTGTAATCTCGTCCTCCTCCTTCTGTTCCCCGTTAAAACTGTTACTAATTTTATAACGTGCATAAAGCTAACGTGCAGCTTTCTGCACTGCTTGCTAGTGGTAAGGATATAGAAATGCTGTCATGAAGCTGGGATTCATGGAAACATGAGATACCTCAGGTACTGCAGGGAGACTTAAAAAGAATAATTCGCTTAAAATAATGATCTTCATCATTAGTGCAACAATTGGGAAGTTTTGAAAGCATATTAACATATTTGATTTGTCTTTCTATATAGTGGACAATGGCTCCATAGTTAACCAGTCACAGATATCCATGAGATTAGGATTCAGTCAGGCACTGGTCTGCAAACTCAAAGCAGGGTTTCTTTACCCAGGCATATGAGACCAGTATCTCCAGTCCTCGGTATGTTATCTGCTTTCATGCGTATGTTTATGGCCTCCCACAGGAGAGGCTGTATCAAGGAAAGATGAAATCAAGATGATGAGCACGACTGACTTTTAGAGCAGACTCAGAAATAAGTGCTGATACTTCAGTTTAATGGGAGACCAGCCAACTGGGACAGTCAGTCACGCAGATTTGGCTGGTGGAAAGAGTTTGGGACCACTCCAGCGTTAGAAAAAGAGCGGAGAGGGGGATTCAATAGCTGGAACAGACCTGTCTGCCAAAGGTTCTTCTACGGACCATTACTGCAGTTATGACAAGGAAGTGTTGCCATTTTCTATACACTGAATTAGGTCAAAGCTGACATCATCAATTACAGAAACAAGTTCCTTATGAAGTCTTAGAGGGGTAGGGTTTTTGCCAGTATCTTGTCTGATATTTCAATAGCACAGGTGGCTAAATTTCTGCAGGCTGATTGTCTTCAATATTAACAACAAAAATAGAAACAAAAAGATTTTTAGCTCCATGTCAGTGAATGATCATGCATAAACAATACAGAAACATCACATTTCTTAATTGGCAAAGACTTTCACACAATAGAAACATCAGATAAAGCACATACTGCACTTAGTTTATCCTGAGAAAAGAAGAATCCAGGTTTCATGTCCTGAAAAGCAAGGCAAATACAATATTACAGCTATTAAGCTCTCTCAGCCTAACTTAGGTCATCTTCAGCTACTGCTGCAGGGGGGAGACGGGGGAAAAAAACCCCAAACCTCTTTTACCTGTTCATTGTGTTTTACTTGCATACAAATAAAAGCACAGAAGAATTCTCTGAAATCAACATTTACATTTAAAATAATAGAGGAAAACACAAATGAAGCATGATGACCAGTGTGCAGGTGTGGTGTATCATTTACCACTGAAGTTTACTCCATTAACCTGTCTCTCTCTGTGTTGACCGTTAAGTCCCTCACCCTTTAGCCACAGGACAAGTAGCACAGCATTAAGGTGCAAGCGGATGCTAACTCCACTGTTTCCAAATATAGACTTCTTGTGGGAACAAATGTACATCTCAAACAAAATCATAGGAGATGCTGAAGCAAACCTAATCATAATCAGCTTTTCCTCCCTAGCTCTGGCTTCATTATGCAAATATATTCAAATTAAGCCCTTTACAAACTGTGTCAATAATTCATGATTTTCCCCTTTTTCCCCAGGAAAACTGTACAAGGATAACTGTACACATGTCCAAGAAATAGAGGATGTCATTTTATTGGAGGTCCACAGGTAACTGTATCACATCAGAAAGTGGAAGAATCTGTGGTATGGCACAACACAATACCTCACTCTATACACTTAAACAGAAGGTTAAATGATATGTAACATGATCAAATCAGTAATTCTCCATCTTCTAGGCACCACTGATTAATTTAAAATAAACTTTAATAAATTGAAAAAATAATATAGTCCATTAGTTTGTTTTTTGCACTGTCTTTAAATGAAACAGCACTTTGAAAGTCACAAATAAAAAAGCAGCACTTTCTCTTAATACCAACACCACTGTAACACATACTGTAGCGTGGCATGCAAATCCATATCTGCAGTCTTTTTTTTTTTTTTTATTAACAAATGGAATGGTAATTTTTTATCTCAAATATTAGTAGCTTCACGTGTAAGTGCAGATCATTCTGGCCACAAGTGTGGTAAGCCTTTACAAGTGTGTATTACAAGAGCATAGAACACAGAGCATGACACTTACATCCAAGAGTCTCTCTCTTTTGTGCTGTACAATGGTCTTTGCTATACGCTGAATTTGAACTTGCTGTACCCAAACTTCAAAAAACAAGATTATTGACTACTTCTGGTTTTACTTAAAAATAAAATGTAGTCACCATCAAAGCACGAGCATTAACAACCTGGTCAAAAAATGCCACAGCTCCATTGAAAAAATAATTTGTCTTTTTAGTAGACTCCATTATGCAGTAAAGTTTCCATTATATAGGCATGTTAAAGTCTTACAGTGTCATTCCTGTTGAGTAAAGATTTGTATAGACACCATGAAATGGCGCAATGTCATCAAAAAAGCTGTTCAAACTGAGCTAAGCTTCACGAGACCACGTACTGAGTCTTCATGCAATGAATCTTGACTGGCTAGACTCAGGACGTGCATTGTATGGCTGTGTGTAATAGGGCTTCCACTTGGCAGCATCCCCGGGGGTGACGGAGCTTCTTCAGGAGTAAGAAACTGATGACCTTCGTGTTCCTCTTTTAATGGTATCATGTCTGTCAAACCTGAATCTGATGTGAGATTGGGCATGGAAGATGGTGGTGTTGGTTGCCCTAGAGTTAGGGTTGCACAAGGCCCACTGATAGTAGTCTTTCCTGGTAAAGGCAGCTCTTCACTAGTTATGCTGGGCTCACTCTGTAGTAGGGGGGTGGCAGCAGCCTGCAAAACGAATTTAGTGCTCTGAATGCACTGATCTTGGTCACACTGTAGAATGGAAGGGTGTCAAAATCATATAAGGCAAACAAAACAGGAAAAAAGGGAGGATATGGACAAAAGGTATGGAAAAGAATGGGATGTGAAGAGAAAAAAGAAAGCCATTAGTATCATTCCATGGTTAGCCACCCAAAAATCCCATTCCATGCTGCCCAGGAGAAAAAAAAAAAAGGCAAAAAAAAAAAAAAAAGCATGCATAACCAAGCCAGTGTTCTAGATTGTTGTCAAAGTAGGTAAGACAAACATTTATAGTATTCACTTAAGGGTTTTTGGTTATCTCTAAAATAGTACTTTGTAAGAACTGTACTTCATATGCTTTGCTTATTCTTATTTGAAGCCATTTGGAACACTTTGCTGAACAAGCCTTTGTGTAGCTAACTGCATGGGGCACCTCAAACCCTCCCTGATTTCAGAGGAGGTAAGTAGGCAGGTGAAATTGCTTCTCGCTACTCATTTTACCCTAGAGTAGCTAGCAATTCAGAGAAAGGCCTAAAAGCATGATTCAAGCATCCTCCAAGTTTGAAAACACGAGGCAAATCTTTTATTGTATTGGTCTTTATATGATCTAGGAATTAATGTACTTCAGAAGTCATCCAGAACAAAAATTACTTTGGATTCAGGTGGTTTTATAGAGATATAGCTGCCAATACAGCCTCCATGACCAAAACTTATACTTTCCAGTCTAATACATAATACTCTTACTCTAAAGGACATGTACAAATTAGGCAGCGGTGCATCAATTTGGCAGAAAAACCAACCTTGATGATTTTTGGGCCTTTTTTTGTCTTCATGTATTTCATCTAGATAATGTGAAGGCTCAAGCTACAAAATATAAGTTTTCTGGCAAGCGCTTTCATAATAACAAGCCAAAATCAGCATCACATAAAACAATTTAAGCTCGGTGACTATTACCAGGAATGCTTTTGGCTTGGAACTTAGGAATACAAAATTACCATTCACTCCTCCAGATGACAAGACAGGTGAGTGTTGCAGTAACATCTAGCTAGCCAAATGGGTGTTGTATAACACAGACTTTTGGTGTGGCAAGTAAAGATAGCTGCTTTTCAGAGAGTATCTACAGTTCATCTTTTCTGGCAAGTTTTAATACTTGTTCCTTATTAAGAACTTCACTTGCAGAGCTACTGCCAAATTAAGTTGCTCTAACACTAACCAGCGTGATTTTTGAGAGCTTCCAATTACAACGCATATTTAATTAACGGCCTGACCAGCTATATCATCTGCAGATTTTCAAAATCCTGTTCAATTCATTTGCCATACTACCGTTCTGCTGTGCAAGAAAAACATTACACACTTAGTCAACACAGCAATAAATCCAATGCAACAAGGACAAAACTTGGAAGCAAGCAAGGAGAATAAAAAATATATCCGGGGTAAAATATGCCTATTTACTGTTGTTATTTCAATGATTCTGTTAGAGCAGTATTTTCAGTTCTTTGTTACTGACTTCTTTCATCTATATCAAATTACTGAAGACATTACAAATCCAGCTTCAGTTCAAGATATACCTAACCATAACCGTTGTTACTAGCATTACAGCAATTCCTTACGACACCCATTCAGTTTTAATAATCCACTGTGTTATGTTCTATGTAAATTAATAGGAAATCTTTTGCTTCCTTTAGCATATGATAAAAAGCACTGTGAATGCTTCCTCTGATATTTTCAGGTCCTGAAATGTTAAATACAGGATAACTGAATGATGGATAAACACACGTTGCATTCAAAAAGCGTGTGTGCCAACTAGCTCATCAGAATAGACAGGTAGCACTTTAAACATGTCTAAGTGGTTTAGGACCACCATGTCAACTACTTTTTGACAGGAAAAAGTCTGGTCCTTACTTGCTTATACATTATCCAACACTTAGGCTTTCAGGCAGGCAATTCTTCAGGCATTTTTTTGTCCCACAGAATGATGAACGCCCCAGGCAAACAAGTAGTCTCATATCATTTCAGAGGGATTACTCACAGGCTTAAGACCAAACCCTGCATAAATACCTTACTAAGGAGAAAATTCTCAGCGCCTTTTAAAGTCAAGCTCTCAATTAGTAATTCACTGCAAATAATTCATTCTTGATTAATATACTGTTATTCACCCCTGCCGGTTTAAATTAAACAATAGCCAACCTTACTATGCAGATCCTACAAATCTGTTAACTGAATTTTACAACTTCAAGATGACCAACAAAATTCATCTTCTCTGAGAAGCAGTAGTCAAAGAACCTGTTAAATTTTAACAGAGCAATGCCTATAACCACTGGAGTACACCAAAAAGAAGTAATTTTAGCAGCTGATTTATTGCCTTAGTGAAGCTTCAGCACTTCAAAAGCAAATCATTACTTAATGCATTCCAGGTAAGGTAAGTACACAGTTTTAAAACAATGGAAGGTAATTTACTTGAGTTCATTGTATAGCCTGAATTAATCTTCTTACTGAATTCTACTGCATTTCAACTGAATCAACATCTAAAACATAAAGCAGCCTCATAAAGCTCCATTAAACAGAAACTTTTTCCAAGTGTTGTATATCTTTCCTTAGTTTTCTTTTCCATGCACTTCTCACTTCCCCACAGCTCTCTTCCTAATCTGGTTCATAGTGCATTACTCCCCACCACTTCCTCCACTTTTTTGCATTTTGCTTTTAAAGAGGCACTTTCTAACAAGCCTGCACATTATAACTCTGCTCTCAGGAAAGTGGTTTCAGCAATTGCTGTTGGGGGGAAACAGGGGGAAGGGGGAGGATATTTCATTACTTTTTCATGCACTTTTTGTTGCCTTGAGTCTACCCAGCTAGCCTGCAAGATTTCTGGAGATGGCTCTGCTTCTTTACACCATGTCATAATGGGGGTACGGACATAAGCAATGTCTAGTCATGTGCTAAGTTTAGTGATCAAATATAGACATTTACACATTTTCAACTGGGATAGAAAGCTGGTTTTATGGATCAATGAGAAAGAAGAGCTGAAGCTAATCAGCTAATAACCTCTACAACATTTTCTCATTCAGACGCATAACTTCAGCTTCTCATTTTTTATTCATTTAATGAGCAGCGATCAACATGTATCTTTATGTAAGATACAGGGAGAAATCAGCTTTCAAAAGTCACTATAGCAGGGTTTATACTAGAAAAGTGAGATGGGTTAAGTGAAGCTCTCAAAAATACATGGCAAACACAACGCATACTATGTCGGCAGAGTAATCTTCAGTTTAAGTAGCCTACACAAAACTACCAAAAATACGGATTCGTATATAGGGCTGACATGATAAGTCTTCCTTGGTTACTTATTTCACTCTTAACTAAATAAACTACATGGACAAAAATCTTAACAGCTACTAGTCGCATGAGTTATTCAATGCTATCATTTCAAAAAAAAAAAAAAAAAAAGGCCACAAACCTAAGAAAAAAGTCAAGCACTGAAATCTCTAAACAGTTAAAAAAAAAACCTATTAATAGAAATGATTCTCCTACTATCTTTATATTTCAGACCTCCTGATTTTATTTTCCATTTACAATTTCTACTGTTTCAGAGGAACAGCAGTTTCTGAAAGTGGGAGAAGTTTAATAAGTTCTGTAAGTACAGAATTTCAATTATATATGTACATAGAAACTTTTATCCATCTTGGTATTTATTTTTACATCAAAAGGCACAAACCAAAGCAAATTAGACAAAAAACTAAAATTCTGTATTTATTTCACAAACAACAAATACAAATGACTAAGGAAACAGTGTCTTTAATTTATTTATGAAGAAAATCTGATTTTTTTCTAGGCTACACAAAACATACATGTTAACAAAGCTCTTGTACATGGCAATATAGTTTTCACATTTCTAATGCCAAGACCAGAGATTATTTGTTTTGAATTTAAAAATGACTTTGTTAAAAATTTTCTAACAGTGGTAACATTAAAGAAACATTACAGTTTTCGGAAGGTGTGAAAAAAGGTGGAATTATCTCAGCCTCCCTGAATAAGGTACAAACAATACTACAATGAGTTCAGAGATTTGGCAGCACTGAATGACAATGCTATGAATAACAGAAACGACGCTGAAACATCATAATAGATGGATAAAGAGCGGAGGGATGCAGCTGCGTAACTGTTCACAATGTCTGTAGGAGTTCAGACTCCAAACCACAGTACTGCAGATATTGTGCAACAAAACTGAGCTACAAAACTGACCAAATAAGACAGTGGTTACATTAGCAAGCAGTACAGTGCAAGAGGAGTGGATGCATGAAGAGAAACAGTTCTGAGAGCCAAAGGTCAAAGTATATATGTTCCAGGGATTTTATTTCAGACTAGCTGTAGTTTGTTCTTGTGGACTGAATGTCCACGTATATTCACAGCATTTTAGGTATACTCCAGGGCACATGTGAGAGAAATGTAGTTCATGTGCTCTCATATTGCTTTGTGATGTGACCAAAATGCAGTAAATGGGGATGATCAAAAGTTTGGCTTCTAAAGCATAACCTGACCCAAAGCAAAAATACTAATGTAGATTCACTGCATTTGCCCTTAACCAGTTGTACCCGTGAAATAAAATGCTGTAATGAAAAACCTCTTCCAACCTTAACTTGGCTGTAGTAACACTGATTTGATAAGATCCCTAAGTTCTGTTTGGGGCAAAGAAAAATTGTATTTGTGACGTACTAGAGTAAATATGCAAGGAACCACGTTTGTAAAACTCTCGAAGCGCGGCTCCAATCCTTGTGGAGCCGTGTATTGTCTGGCAGAAATATGTACTACTAATGATGAGAATACAAAAGCAAAAGGATGCTAGAATAGACAGAGTTGATGTTTTCTGGGTCAATTGGATTCCTGTTTCCGGATCAGTGCTAGAAATACTGACGTGAATATCTGAGAAAGGACTTTACTGCACATCTCCCTGGTAACAAACAGTTGCATATGCATTAAAAGGTTTCCTATGTTTTGGGGTGTTAAGTACGAGTAAGAAAACAAGCACTCTAGCCAAAGAACCAGCATCCAAGAAAGAAAGGGAGAACTAGAAATAAGGGAACTTGGCATGCAAGGGAACTAAGCACTGAGGAGGAGATACCTAGAATGCAGGGGTACAAGCTAATTCCTTCAAAACAAAGAAATGAACCAGTCCTGATGCAAAGGCTAATAGAAACCACTTGACAAGGCAACAGAGAATTCCTAGAGACATCACAGTAAAAATAAACCAAAATAGTAACTCTAAAAAATTCATGGAGTTAAATTCTACTTTTCTCTCTAATGGAATGCTAAAGAAAAAAATATCCTGCATCAAAACCCAAGAATCAACTCAAGCTTTTAAGGTAAAGGTAAGTACTACAGAAGTGTAGATTTAATTAATGGTAGCTGATGGGTTTATGGTGAAATAAAAATTTTATCAGAATACAAAGAAAAAAACATAAAATGAAAGAGAAAGAATAAAATAAGCAGAGAATATCATGATTTCATAATGGATGAGATGCTGTGCTTTTTGCAAAAAAAATCTCTGTAGAATGAGAAGAGAGATAATGGGCAATCAAACTAATGAAGAGCTTATAAAAATAATTAGCAATAAAAGGCAACAGGGAAAAACTTTGGAAATATGAATGTCTACAGATCATTAGCTCTAAGCAGCATGCTTCCAAAGACAATAAGAAGCTGGGTAATGACTATCAGATTAATTTAAATTTATTTTGAAAAAAAGAGATTAAAAATACTGGGAATTTACCAAGAAAAAAAAAAAAGTGGTACTGAACTTCAAAAAAAGTTAATGTTTGGTAACTCTAACTTCAGTCTCTAGTAAAATAAAGGAGGTACTAAGGATAGAAGGAGGAAAACAGCTCTGTTTTTAAAGATAGAGAAAAAAGTGATACTGAGGGCCTATGAAGCACTGATTACACCAAAAACCTTGATTTGCTGAGATTGTAGCAAACGTAGTCACTACCAAGAGCAGGGTTGATCCTCTATGAAATACTCAAAGTCCCAAAGGCAAAATTACCATAAGATCTCTTAAATATAAAAATGGTGCTGCACAGATGGTGTCCTGAATAAGAGATAACGTATTGCACTGAAAACAGGTGTCTAAGCTTAGATTGATATTTGTTTAAGCTTAAATGTAAAAATGATTGCTTCCTAGAAGATGTTATAATAAAAAATAAAAAAAAAAAAAAAAGGAGGCAAAGTATAAGACTAACCAACCTAGAGAGATGTAAAGAATGACCAGAAACAAGATGGATGGGACATAAGAATTCTATTTAGAAAAATGCAGGTCAATGGGGAGAAGATAGTCAGCCAAGAAGGAAAGAAAGCTGAGAAAGATCATAAGAATAGGGAGAAAAAAAATCATTATCAATGCACTACGGCAGGAAAGAAGGTCAAAGAGATAGTTTTTCATATATTACAACACAGCACAAGCAAAGCAGTTCTTTGTGTCCAGTTAGGTAACTGGACATATCCAACTGTAAGGTGTTCAGACAGAAAGATAAGAGAGTTTACAGAATAAAATAATTGGGATAAGAGACTTTCATAATGTATTTACCCTTCTGTTGAAAAAGAATTATGTGCTTATCTCTATGCACCCTCATTAGTCCTATTGATTTCTGTGGACTACTCAGAAAGCATAAAACTAATCAGTATTGCAGGAGTAGGAAATACGAGAATGTAAGTGCCAGAGAAGACACTCATAAAAATCTTCCTTTAATACCAACGGGCAGAAGAGAGATTTTAGGACACTATACTGATTAACTAGATTAACACTTAGAAATTAAGATTAAACAAAGAGACAGTAACATGTAACATTCTAGAATAAAATCCAAAGAGCCCTGCCATAAAGATGTACTGGAACTCACTTCAGATTTCTAATAAATGATTTCTTACATTTAACAGAGGTAAATTTACTAAATTAGTGTAATTATCTATGGTGATGTATAAATGGCAAAACTTCTGCTCATTTAAACAGTATTTATAGGTTAAGACTACTGTCTCAACATGCTCTTAAATTAGGGAATTTGACTTAATTTGTCCTTTTCTGAAACCATATAACAACAAAAGCTGCAATTTCAGATACATCTCTTCAGACCAGCCAGCCCTTTGGGGCCCATCTGCCTCAGCTCCAAGAACGCCTTATTCATTTTATGCCTCTGGCTCTACTTCCAAGGGGGACGCAACCTTCCAGAAGGGAAGGTGGAACCATCTCCCGTCTGTTGCCTAACTTTTGTCAATGAGGACTGTTGGTAAAAATAAATCTTACAGTCTTCCACAAAAACTCTCCCTCTACTCATTTGCTTTGACTGAGGTCTTGGGTTTGAGCTAGTCAGTCATCTAAACCATGAAGCAACAAAGGAAGTTTTAATGTTCACATCTAAGCTCCTAGTGAAAGGATTTCCACAGAATCTTTCAGAGGTTTCTCCTCTCAAATCAATGGGACACTGTGTGCCTTATTTTACTTCTATCATAAAGTATACTTCACTGCCTTTCATCCAAGAAGCTTCAGCATTTCTTTCTCAGGAGAGAACAAGTGAATGGCTGGTGTTCCCAGACCTGCTGTTTCCAAACTGTTTCAGAAGAACCTAGGATTGTGTACTGGGAAGAAAGATGAGAAAAACTGATGCTGTAAAGCCTGGAAAAGAACTACAGGTCACTTAATGGGTAAAAGTTTTAAAAAGAATCATGAAATGTTATTTGATTAATTTTGTCTATATATAAAACGGAACAGAAAATTTGGTAACTGAACAGAATGGCTCAGAACAACTCAGCTAGCAGTAAGGTGACTTCATTGTGGTAGGAAAAATAAGCCTGTTACGTGGATGAGACTGAGGTCTTAGATATGAAATAGGAAAATCAGGTGTGTAGCTTGCTGTTTTATAAGATTGGAGAGATGGGAGTCTAAAATTAGGTACAGGGTCTATTCAGAAGGTGAAAAACATCCACCTAACAGCACTGAAAGAGGGATATTTGAAGCAAGAACAATCAGAGGCAAAGTTATGCCCTGCGGTACTGCTGTCAATAAGAAATTAATTTATTTTCTCCTATGCTCCAAACAACTCAGAAAAGAACATGCTACTTGAAATAGGGAAGAGAAGTTAGTGTTAGAGAGAACGGAAAACTAAGCAGGTCTTCACAGTCTGCAACAAAACTCAAGGGAGTCATTTGAGAAGTTTGAAAGATCATGCAGATAGCCAGCTACCATTAGAAGCCAACCAGTCTTAGATACAGACCAGGAATAATACCCTGAGAAAAATGGCATCACAGTCTTAAAGATATTCCTGCATACAAAACATGACCTACTAACACTTTCAAGTTTTTTCTAGGAGAGCATTTACAGGAACGAAAGCTGAAGATTTCAACAGCTTCAAAGTGACTCTGATAACCATTGTATCACCTAAGCCTTTCCCAGCTCCAGTCCTGTGATGTTCTGCCAGGATATAAGACGCTCTAATCCTTGAAGATTTGTGTTTGTGTATTTACAGGTAGTACACTCTTAAATCCTAAAAGCTACTTGTTTGACTTAGAGTCATACTATGGCATATTTTTGCATTTATAAGACAAATGTAGATAATCTACTATCATATTGACAACAAATTTGCTCATTCCTATCTAGTAACAATGAGCTAGTGCTTTCTTACAACGCCAATAACATTCTTAAAATGCCAATATAATATAACGCCAAAGACTTATCGCGGGCTAACAACCCTCATAAATAGGATGCCTCGACAGAGTCGAGAAATTTGGCCAAACCTTTAAAGACCTCAGGATATTTTTAAGTTTTGCTTTCTTCTTCTTTTTTTCTTTTCAAGGCTACATTTCCTGCGTAAAATTTGCATAGGGCACTAACTTGTTCCGCTCAACTGCACCTCAGAAAAGAGTCGAAGTGAATATTGTGTTTCTAATCAAGTTTCTCATTAAGGAGACTGACAAATGTTCCCTTTAATTCTAGAAATAATAAGTCAGAAACAGCTTAGGAACTACAATCAAACGTATATACCAGCTTATAAGTGACACTGAAACTAATTTGTCTGGGAGGAGTGAGCCATTCCTTCTTTGTTCAAAAGAAAGGCTGAGTTATGTTAGGAGGCCTTGTGGCCTCTTCCCTTTTGCCAGAAAGAGAGGTCCATAACTCATAGCTTCTTTGATAAAGTCTTAGAACCCACATACTGTACAGACATGTGGATAACAATCAGAAATAGGCACATAAGATGCTTGCCTTTGGAAAAAGATCTCTTTCCAGTTATTCTCTTCTTCTTGGCACTGGAAATCCTATCTTCTTAAATCTTCTTAAAGAGGAAATCCTATCTATTATGATAGCCAATGCTACCAGCAAAAAACATAGTAAGAACTACTGGCACAGTTTCAAGAGACGTTTAAAAGCTTTTGATGTATCACTCCAGTTGCCATTTTTGTTCATTGTTCAAGTGCAGTGTCCTCCTGCTCTTTCTTCAACACACTTCTCCCCTAGAAACTCCTTTTTGTTAATCTTTGCTTTTTAAAACATATTAGTCTATGCAAAACTGCAGTGTACAAGCAAAGGAGGAAACAGTGAATGAAGAAGGTGCTATACCAAATAACATTTAGCTGGAAACCGATGAACCAGAGCAAGTCCATAATACTTGGAATATTCCAGTTCAAAACATGGCAGGTGTCAACAGTACACATCAAAATGCCAATATATTCAATAAATCAACAGCGTAGAAAAGCCTTGCTTTTTAGAATCCATGAGCAATAGCTACTACACTGTGCGAAACATACATTAAAAAAGGCCTTGATTTTTTTTCTTTACTGTTAATAAACAAGTCATTCCACCCAGTGTCAGCTGTATCCAGTTAGTTATTACTTGATTAGTTCACATGAAAGTGGAGAAGGAAAACATTCACAGGGATCTTGATGAACAACATTATGGGATGATTCCTACCATGTTGCTCTGAGACTGTGTGGCCCCATACATAGTAATGCCATTTGATGGTCCTGCTAATTGCGGTGTATCTGGTTGTATAAATCCTCTTCTGTCAATTAAGCTATGGAGTAATCAAAATAAAGAAAAAGAGAATTAAAAATATTTCTAATCGGTAACTACCTCCTCTTAACGAAAGGAAAAAAAAATTATAATATGCAACGGACCTTAATGCATGACCAGTACACCTTCAAACATCCCCTTTTATTCAACTGGAAAAGCGTGACACTTTGTGTCCATTTGTTAGCAAAATAATTGATAATTACTATCCCTCCACATCATTATAGGTACTGCAACTTTTCTGGATTTTTATTATAGACAAAAGATTTAGAAGCTGAGTAGCAGATACCATGAAAAGAAGAATTTAAAATCCACAGGTACAAGAACAAATCGTAAAACTCACTAGTGCACTTTGAATCAGTATCACTTTAAAGCTTCTTTTATTATTCAGTTTCTACAACTCTATCTTAAAGCTCAAGATCAAAAAAGAAAAAAGAATTTTTACAAGTTACTTAACCAGGAAGTTTAGAAAGAAAGAGGAATGCTCATTTAGACAACTTACTTACCAGGGTGTTTCATTATAGCTACCTAAGACTGCTTGTATTGTTCCACTGTTCTTACCCAAGTGACGCACTTGTAAGATGGAAGTAGGAAATTTTTAAGAACAAGAAATGGATTTGTGGAGCAATTCATAAAAAAGTAAAAATTAATGTAAGAAAATGAAAAACAACGAATGGAAGCATTTGATGTAGCTGAAGATTTTGCTAAAATTCCGTATACAATTTTACTCTCAATTTGAGAATCAAAAAAACCTCAGTTTGGTTCTGCCAGTTCATAATCATATGCAAAACGATGTACAGTATTCTACATGTATATTAACACTTCTCACTTCCACGCAAGACAAAATTTTCGACTGTTTGTGCTTCAAATGCATTCAAAATCTTCGGTGGAGATCTCATTTATACTTTCTACATGTTTTTAATCTTAGGCCAAAGAAGCTATTTACCTGTGATGTGAACAATGTTGCTTCATATCTATAAAACTTTACAAACTTTAAGCCAAGAATGCCGTAAAATTTTAGTCTCAAAATAAAGCCCTTGTACCACAGCTTGTCAAATTTTACCACAGCTTTTATAGTGCCTCTTACTAAGGGATAATGATAGGAACGCCATAAAATACCTGAGAGCTAGAGTTAGCATAGAAATGGTTTTATTTGCTGACTTATAGGACCTCTAAATTCCCTCTGGGTCAAGATAGCCTCAATTTTAGAAGATAAGAACAGGATATACAGAAAACATAGCATTTTCCCTCTCAAAAGAAAATGAGATTTCCACCACTCAGACACCAATCTGAACTCTCACTACAGGTCCGTAGAACAGGTTTTTACGTACATTCAAAACACTTAAAAAAAAAAAACATTTGAGATTACAATTTCTTGTGGAAAGCACTCCTTCAAAAATCAGATCCTTATAAAAAAGGTTTATGATTTACTATGTCAAAATACTGCTGTGGATCAAAGAAGGATTTGAAACTTACTGTGGAGGACATGTAAAATGCATTCTGAATTCACTGGCATGCATTTTAGAATTGAGAAACATTATCTTCCAGAGAACTGAGAAGAGCTTAGATTATTTACAGAGATCCTCTCTGAATCTGCATTCCGTCCTTAAAATTTCAAATGTTAAGACCCTCTAAGCGCTAACTACTATTAGTTCATTTTATTCGGAATTAAGGAAAAAAGAACTTGAATATCTAGTGACTTAGGACTTTAGGGATTAAATATTTCAAAGTGATCTTATTCACAAGCAGAAGTTTAGATTCATTAGATTTCAGATTAGGAAGGAGAGCATAATTTACGATTACAGGGTTATAATTTATAATTTACAGCCTGTCACAAAATATCTTCCAGCAGAAGCTGTAAATACTTTGGCATCTAAAATTGTGGTGGTAGATGGAATTCAGAAGAAAACATATCGACTCAGTCAAAGCACAGGGACAATGCCAGTCTGGATGAATACTTGTCTGGTGTGCTGCTACTTGCATCAGTCTAAGCTTCTATTTCAAATACTGTGAAATCTTACACATTTTTGATAAAAATTTTCATTTGGACTCAACCAAAATAATTTGATTCAAAACAAGGGGTTGAGTTTTTACGTCACATACTTCTATCGAAAGCAAAATAACAGAATTAAAGGGCTGGCCTTTAATTCAACATCCTTAAATCCTGAAAGGCACCACCCATAAGGGCAGGAAGCAGTGGCAGTGTTACCTTTTCCCACCACAGTGATTACTGTGTTGAGCCAGTATGTGGAAAACATAACTTAGTTATCTCCTCCTTAGGAAAAGATGTTATCAGTCTCTTCTGTTCTCCTGCTACCACTCTGTGTAAGAATTTCAAATATTCATAGTAGCAAAGACAGAAATCCCACTTCTAATGAAGCACGTTAGCTACTGAATTCCAAAGTCATTTACTCTTTCTTTCTCAATAGTTCACATTCACACAGATATAATTCCAAACAAAGCTTCAACAGATCAGTGTTGCCACAACAACAATCCACAAGACGATGGTCACCTTCTAGGGAGAAGCTGAGCCTCTATCACACATGTATCAGATGAATCTAATCACTGAGCTTTGAAATAAGAATAGAACTGAACCCTCCCTGCAGCTAGTTTTATTTGTCTAGTCTCAGCGGCTTTATATTTTGGTTCAAGCTGAAAATCATCTCCAACCTTGAATATCCAAATGTATTCAGGAAGCAACATTTTGGATTTGAAAAGCAAATATATATTCACCAAAAAATTAAACCCTTAAGACTTCTCTGGAATTATTTTGGTGTAAAAAGCATCAAACTCAGCTTAGTGTATATATGTTAAGAGTAGCGTAAATAAAGAAAATTTTTTTGTCCATTTAAATAAAACATTTCAGAGTGAAAAGACAAAAATCAAACTAGCTGTAGAATTAAGGTTCCAAATGCACACCTCTCCTAAACTCCTGTGTCATGCTTGTTAGATATGTAAGAGTTCAATTAGCTCTTTTAAAATATTATAGGGGTTTTTAGATTAATTTCTGCTGGCACTAGGAGCAATAGAATATACTCCTCTTTTATATGTTGCCACCAAATATTATTATTTTGCCTCAATATAGCTGTCAGGGGCAGATAAAATATTACAGATTTTTATTTTACAGTGAGGTAAAATGAGGACCAGAAGCATAGATCATACAGTGATTTTATGGCACTGATATATAAGACAGGCTTCCCATCCTGAAGGGGTTAGGCATTACTTAAAGTCCATGTAAGACCAATGGTGGGCAATAAATATCAAAAGAGATATCAAATGAATATTGTTTTTTTTTTAAACTACTAGATGATCTTTCTTTTGAAACACGGGCCGTATTAACTATTTGGCACTTTTAATTATATCACTCAAGAGCTCACAGCAATAAATTATATTTAAAAAATAATCTGAGATTTTGTCACATCTAAGTTCTACTACTGATTGATTTTTTTAATTAACCTATTTTGAAACCTGCTCATCAATACCAAATCCAATGCTGTTACTCTAATAGCCATAGTGAAAATGTCTGCTGTTGCTTGCTCTGGACTAAACAAAAATTGTGTCCTAGTTCAGCTACTTTTACTATTTCAAAGCTCTATTATACTTTTATACAAAGCCTTCTAGATTAGGTATTTTAATTTTTTTTTTGAGATTGTTTTTGATCAAATATTCCTCCTCATTTTGCAAGTTTGCAATATATCCTTCTGATTTCTAATCACAGAACATCCAGAACATCTTTTGTTTACACAAGGCGTATACTGGGCCTGGGCCTACTGGGGAGGTGTATAAGCTGTTCTTTAAGCTGATTTGCCATACAGAAATGAGCCAAAAACTTCATCAGTAGGAAAGCCTGCTGGAGACCTGAGCTATCTGTGGATTAAAGTAAGAGAAACATTGAGCTAAATGCATTTAATTTTATGGAAGGCTTTCTTATCCTAGTAAGTTGAGAATGAAGATGAATGGTGAGAAAGTTATGGTGAGAATGGTGAGAAGCCCCCACCCATCCTGCAACAACTACTTAGAATTTTTTATTGGCAGCAGTCATTAACTGCTGTGGTAAAGGTTCAAAGAACAAAAAAAAGCTTATTTTAATTTCAGATGTATCAACTTTAAACTAATCTATTTTATAGGATCAGATCACTAACTTAGTTTAACCACAATTTAATCAACTTGTCTGTTCAATTTAGAAGAAGATTTAACTAAAGCCTCTAGTGGACGGTAAAACAAAGCCTTTTTGTTAAGTTGAAGAAAACAGAAAAAATATTTTTTCACTAATAATAATTTGGCTTAATTTATACTAACAATACTTTTGATACTCTTACCTTGGAGAGAGGGGCCCACAGAGTGCAGCACAGCAATTAGTAAAGATGTTGCCGTAACTGTATGGGTTATAGTTTTCTTTACCTCTTTTATTTGACCATGATCCTTTAATCTGAAGAGATATGAACAAAATATAGCTCATATAATACAATACAGAAAAACGTTGACGCAAATTCAGGGTTAGCAAAGCAGCAATAGGCTACTTGTGTCCGATTACACTTACCTAACAGCTTAGAGCTGTGGGCTGTTATGAGTGGCTGAATACTGACATCTTGAAGTACATACCAAAAGCACATGCTTTACCTCCATAGACTCAGAGAACCCCAAATCTTCAAAGGGCCAATATATTTAGAGAAGAATTTCAGCATCTAAGCATGTTTTGCATAAGAGGTCTGAACTTAATTTTACAAACAATACAGCACATTCCACAGAGGAGTTTCAGTTGCTACCTACCACTAAAGCAAACAATAGAGCACTCAAGCTACACAATACCACCCAACCTTCTCTTCCTCCAAAGCCCAAAAAAGGCCCTAGCATATCATGAAGCAATTGCAATCATTATTACCTTTTAACCCAAATTATGTTTTCTTTTAGCCACTCTTGCACTTCTTTACCTGGGATACCTGAGAGCCTGGGTAAAACACCTTGCCGTATTCAACTGAAAACGTATGCTTTTAAATGAAGTTATTAGGCAGTTTACTTGAAATTCACACATGATATAGTGCTGTAGTTCCCTGTTATCTGACAGCTTTTCAGCACTCCAAGAGAGAGATTTATTTAGGGGGAAAAAATGGAAGCATGCAGGGTCCATCTAGACAGACAACGCTGGCCTGAACCTAGCAACTGAGGAACACTACCATATCTCTATCTGTCTTATTAAGGAGGTGAATTTCTTCAAAGTCAGGCTCCTTGCCTGGATAGCTGATACTGAGGTACAATCCATTCTGAGTGTGCTTTGGTAAGTTTTGGGTTTTCTTCCCCAAGTTTATCATTTTAACTATGACCTTAACCAACATCAAACACGTACGCGGCAGTGCCAAAGATGCTACTTTTACCAGCTATCGACAAAAAAGGTACAACAAAAAGTTACAATGAAGTAATTTTAAACTTGTGGTAATTTGTTCAAAAATTTTAGGATCGCTGTATTTGGGTTACCTGCCAAATTCCAACAAGCATTCTATACCACTAGCTAACCAGCTATTTTTATTTTCTCCTTTTAGTTAGGAGACACATTAAGCCTCCACACACAGTTATATTTAATTTCACACTAAAAATCAATGGAAACTTATGTGCTAAATAGGACAACTGTAGAAATGGGTGAAGTTGACCTTTGAACTAAGGATATATCTCCTACTAAAGGTTTCACCCCTCTCACTGGCAAAGAAATTTCAAAGGAAAAATGAGATTAAACATGAAATATCTGTTTTGAGAAGTCAGTGTACTTTGAAATTTTTAGAGTACGCCATTTTTGAGTCAAAGAATACTCAAGACTCCAAATGAAAGAGATATTGAAAATTATTCAGTGTTTTCCTACTGAACTGAAATGTATAAAATACACTTTTGTCTTGTTCTTCTTTCTCTACTCTCTGTATTTTCCTGTTTCAAGATATAGGTCTTGTGGGTGTAAATCACAACGGACGCATTAGACAACCATCAGATCTTCAAGCCACAACAATCACAGTCCAAGAGATCTCCTCTGATATTCTGAACCAATTTGGCCAGGTTACTTCCTTCTTTCTTACTGAGGCAACCACAAGTTATGCAGGAATAACTTCTTTAAGTATTACAGGGAAAAAACTGTATACAATTAAAATTAATCATCTACTCATCACTACTATTTAGAAACATGTATGTAGAAATATACCATGAACTTACATCTTCATTTGTTGTTTGATTGGAGCTGATCAAATACGTGTGAAAACCTGAGAGACCAACAATGGACCATACGGAGAAAAAACACACCACAGCTTCCAGCACAGTGATTGAAAGTCAAGGAAATATAAGCAAACAAAATATATTGTATCTAAAACCAAGCAGTTAAAAATCACAAAATTCAGGGTTGTCAACCTGTAGTCCACGACCCCCTAGAAGTCCTGAGGGTACTTCAAAAGATTCAGCAAATAATAACTCAGAAAAGCACGCCTATCATCAGTTGGCTTTAATGCACAGACCACTGGATTACATCTACACCAGAAAATATTTAAGGGTCTGCAGATTGGAAAAGGTCACAAACTACTGATTAGTGGTTCAGATGTTTTTAATTGCTGTACTTTAAATTTTACATGTTCACTCAAAAACGTTAACATATTTTTATTAAGACAGGTATGTAAATAAATAGCAGTAAACGACAGTTCTAATAAGGTGAAGGGAAGATTAAACATAGGATAGGTGACCCAAGGCTAGTTGGGTAGCAAAAATAGAACAGAAATGTTTGTACAAACACTCATTGCACAAAAGGAGTCTTGAGCAAGGACCAAAGTTTCACACAAATAATAACAACTGAGTAAATTTGTATCTCCTAGTCATATATATTGACTGTTAAGATTCTTCTTTCTTCTGTTATAGAAGTTAAGATGCTGATAAGGACCCTAACACTAGCATAATAGAAGTATGTTAGCCCAAGTAAAATACAAAATCCACTTACTCTCTCAAATCTGTGTGATAACTAGATATATTCGGCATTGCAACTGTGGGGGCACCTGCATGGGCCACCATTGGCAAATGGCCTGGTTAAGAACTTCAGTTAATAATGTGAGTATAAATAGTTGGGGAGACGGGGGTTGAACACACAAAAGTGTCTGAACAGTGCTTGCCCAAAACTCATCAAGTTGAAGAGGAAGACTATCTACCCCCACCTGATGGTGCTAAACAGGAGGCTGGATTAAACAATAGCTTGGGAATTGCAAAGACTTTTTGAAGGAGGCATCAGCCTAAAAAGAAGTACAAAAGCAGCATGAAAACTGGGTGAAGAGACCTTGAAGTGGAAACAGCAGTTGTCAAAACCTGGTATGGCACTGCCAGAAGTCACTCCACCAGCATCTGCCTGGAGTATGCCAGCAACCTCTCTGTCAGCTGCTGTTATTAGCCTGCATCCACCGAGTGAACTGTCACTCGGGGTGCAACATGCATGGGGTCACATCTGACGTGTGCATTTGTGAACTTGTGGGGTGCTTTCTTACCAGCATGTTGACCAGCATGCTGTAGGGAGCAGCCAAGGTACACATAAAGCTAGAGCACCCACATCTCCAGCAGGAGGAATGTGCAAGTAAGTAAGGGATCTTTCAGTCGCAGGAGAGAGGAGGGGTGTGTGCGTGTGTGTGCATCACTAGAACTTTGGGGGGTTTAGCTATAGAGTGGTGCTTGGACATTGGCAGGTGTTTATTAACATTTCCTAAGTGTCCAGTATGGTGTTTCACCTGTTCTATTACTGATATTGACACTGAATGTGTAAGTTCACTGATTGTGGGTTAATTACATGTCATTAATAAATCAGCTAACTGCTTCAATCTTGATTTGGTTTAAACTACATGTGAAAAATCACAGTTTTGTGCTGCAAAAGCAACCTTCACCTTTTAAAATTTTCCTAACTGGAATAATAAAGATGAAAAGTATGAATTACATTCCTTAGTTTTATAGACAAATTAAAAAACACATTTCCCTATTAGATTGTCTAATTATGTTCAAGCTTGTGTCTTTCACTCATTTCCTTCCCCCCCCCCCCCCCCTACCTTTGCTTCCATTTTTCATAAAAGAGTAACTAGACTTTTAAAGTGAGGTCAGTGTACTAGGAAAGTCAGTCAGCACTCATTGTTGCATACTTTGTAAGTTTATATCGTTCTTTTAACTCTAAAAACTCATCATCTCAGTGATAAGACAATGAACTTGCTTCTAAAACTTTATACACTGAAGCAAAAAGAGTAATTTCCTATAGAAGACTTCCTGCCCACAGTTTATCTTTTATCGATATTTATTTTCATTTATATAACAACAGCCAGGAACTCAGAATACATCTGCTTCTATGATGTTATTTTCTGCAGTGCTTCAGTAGTAAAATTTTTCAGGGAACATGAATCAAGAGCAGAAAAGGCCTTGGTTCCTAGAAAAATTATATAATAAATTAGTAAGAACAAGACAACAGGAACAGAATAGGATAAAAATAATCTGTATGCCAACCATATACTAACCATTAATGAAGTCAGTTTCCAAGACAACAGCACCTCAAAATATTGCATAAGGAGGACACTGTCAGCCTTAAAACATACAAATAATGTGCTTATCACTGAACCTATCAACAGAAAATAAATATGACAGCTCCCCACCATTATATAGAGAAATAGGCTGGAAAAAGCATGGATCGACCTAAGCATCCTAAAATATCCCAATATAAATTAACAGTCAAGAGTCTCGTATTGCAATCTGCTGTGATCTAAATAATTGGGAAATGAATGAATGGTCTCTGTAATTCTCATTAACATCCACTTCACTCAAATTCAGAGCAGTTTAGAACACAAAAGAGCTGTCTACATTCTAATCGAACTGCTCCTACAGCAGCAGAACGACCCAAGAGCATTCCTCAGCAAGAGGTTCACTGCTCTCTCTCGTCTCCTCCACCAGCCATGAGGAGAGCCAAAGCAAGCACACGATAGGAGTTTAATCTCAGTCAGCCATGCCACAGCCATAGCTAAAGCAGAGAGAATGACGGAGAATGGATATGGAAGTAGACTGTTGTTACCAGGGGGTCAGAAGGTGTAAGAGAGAGAGAGAAATAGCCTGAACACATTAGGCACAAACCAATTCAGTCCACCTAACTGGGCTTTGAGATGGCAGAAACTCTAAGGAAGGCTGTGGAAAAGCACTGTTTTGTGGAATCTACAGACCAAGACTAAGAGGAAGAACCACCAGGCCCAAAAAGGGGAAGCTGAGGGGGAAAGGAGCTTCCTGGAGCCTCACTGTGTGACCGAGCACATCAGTAACAGGCTGTTCCTCATCACCCTTACGCTCAAGAGGACACTGAAAAGTGAGTTCCTCCCTCCACACAGTAATGCCTGCTGACTAGGAAAGGGAATTCCTCGGACTTAAATTTGAGTTCCCCATACGAAGATCCATAAAAGATCTTTAGAACAACAGGGGTTTTATGTTAGATTAGCTTGACTAAGTACAATAATAACGGACGAATACAGAAAAAGAATATATTCTCAATATAAAGCATAACTTATTAGCATAACATGACATAACATTGGTATCTCTTGCAGGGTTGTTAGCAGGGTACAAATGGCAGTATTCTCTCTGTGCCTGAATAGGCTGGTTGGCCCCAAAGTAGAATTCCTAACACCATTCAGACAATTTAATTTGTTACTGTTAGGAATTGTAACCAAGCTGTTAAATTGTCCAATATCAAACCAGGCTGCTTCTGTAAGATGTTCTATTCAGCCTTTCAGATTGGCATGTGTCTGAATACAAATTATGAATAAGCAGCCTATTGTTCTTGTACAAGGGATCCTGAAATGCGTAATCAATTACCTTTTGATTTAAGAACAACTGAAAGCTATTCTCATTTTGAAAAAACTGAAAGACGAATCTTTGGTAAGAAGTGATTGCTATTATTTTAACTGGAAGCTATTGTTGTGCTACTTAGAATAGTTTGTGCTTTGCAAAATTATTTTTACCGTTCAAAAAAAAAAAACTCAACAGTGGCTTTGTTTTAAAAGGGTGTTTGCTTTACAACTCAGTGACTTCACTTGATAAACATATGTGAAAAAGTTGTATCTGCAGAATTTGACATTTAGAAAGACAACCTGGAAAGAGAGGTGTGTCTTCATGTACAATACAGATGTAAGTGTTTTAACAGGTTCTCATTAAAATGAAAAGATATTTTAGTAACTGGAACTTGCTCCTTCAAGATTGTTTGTGGCATACCTTCACAAACATTTTATTCTCCCTCCCCTCTTTCTGTTGAAGTTGTACGATCATTCTTTCCACTTATCTTCATCAGACAAGAAAGGGTTTTTAAATGGCATTAGGCTTCACAGACAATTGACAGAGTATAAGCAGTAGAATCATTCACCACATCCAGTTTTAACTAGCTACTGCCCTTTGATACGTGAAGTACTTCTACAGAGCAACTCTAAAAGTTCACTGTATCAACTAAGCAGATGTATTTGGAAAATGAGAAAAAAACACAAACAAATGGTATCTTCTCATAGAACACAGAATCAGTGCATATTAAAAGGGCAGGGAAATAAGCCTTAGACACATGCTAACATTTCATTTTGAGATTTTAGCAGGCAGTAACACTTGGAAGGAAATTTGTTACTTCCTTCCACAGCAAGTGTTTGCCCATGAAAAAGTTCTCCCAAGTATATAACATTTTCTGAACTTCATACAGAAGCTTTCTCATGATTCCATTGCTAGTAATAATGAGAATGACTGGGAATACAGGAAAGGAAAAGTTTCTTCTTTTTAATCTTTTGTGGAAAAGAGCAAACTGCATGAGGTACAACAGCCAGAAGAAGTTGCTTCAGTACATGCATAGGAAATAATTATTTTTATAGTAGCTTTGTGAGAGGGGCACACTGCTTATAAAGACACACCATTCAAAATATACACATAAGGAGTGGGAAGCTTACAGTCTGTACAGTAATGTAAGCAGGAAATTAAATAGAAGTTATGTTAGCTTCCTATTTTTCCTTTATATTAGCCGCTTTCAGAAAGGAGCAGGAATCCTGCTCCAGTCTCACTGAGCAGAGAAATATACAGAGAGCTGCTGTGAAGTAATTAAAAAGAATACTGAGTATTTACAGAATAACTGTCCCTATGTATGCATATGTATACTTTTATGTAATCTAATAGAAGTAGATACTTGAACATATGACTTCTCTAAAAAGAGTAAATCAGTTAAATCAACATTAAGAATACTTTCAAGTACTCAGCTCTTTGGGGACAGCTTAAGGTTTCAGTTGTTTCACAATCGACTTTTTGTACTCTGACAAGAGTCAGCCATTTAGATACTTTCTGTAGTAAGAGCAGCATATTCAACACATTAAATGAAATCATGGCATGAGTATAATGCGAGATATATTTTTGAATTCCTTCACAAATACATGGAACATATTTCCATCACACATGGAAACTATATATATCTCTGTCAAGAATACTATGCTGCAAAAGAAAAATGCAGGCTAATCTGTTTCCTACCTCCACCATTTGGCGAGAAATCCTGTTGTGTGCAGAAAGTGATGAAGTCATTAATTGATAAAAGTCCCAAATGCACATATCCAACAATAGCAAGCAACCAAAGAAAAATACATCTCAGATGTTACTATGCAACAAAATCTACAATTTGTTTCAGTGAAAGGATATCTTGCAGGACTGTCCTTCAGGGCATTGAGGAACCCTGTTTGTTGTGAACCTGTGGAAATAAAATCCAAATTACCAACTGAGTATGATATTAAACTACAGGCTTTTTTCACTATAGTTCACACACAATTAATATTTGAAGATCTACTGAACAGTCACAGAATACATTTTACTAACGAGAATCTGAGATTATGCTATTCTGCAGCAACAACAACAAAAAAATCCTGGGTAAGTTATCTAACATCTGCAGTATATTTTCTCAGTAATATCAGATTGATGCCTGCATACTTTCCCACGAACAAGACCTCTGATTATGCCTGTTCTTTTTAGATCTAATATAGAAACAAAAAAAATTATAAGTTATTTGTTCCCCGTTAAATATTATTTTTCCAAATCAACTTTTGACTCAGAAAATTTATGAAAGTTATACTATCAACCCAGATTCTCAGCCTTCCGTCCCTTATTCTGGATGCAGCCAAAGTTCTCTAGACTATAATCATGCTTCTACTGCACTTGCATAGGGTTTTTCTTATAGGTGCTCATTACCTCTGGGCAAATGGAGCATACCTGCTGGCTGAAACTAGCCCAAGGACAGCATGCTCCAATGACCAGACATGGAGAAACATCTATTTGGGTTTTAAAGAGATATTCACCACAAAGGGCAATTTGACAATTTGCAAGAGGTGAATTTGTCTGTAGAAACTGACTCTTAATGTTACATAAGCATAAAGGCATACACAGCTTATATTTTATTCTATAAATTAAATGATTTAAATGCATCAGGTTGAAAGTATTTCCCATGGCAAAATTTTCCCTATTCTTAGCTGAATTCACCTGAATATTTTTAGGAAGAGAGAAGAAACTTGATAAACCAAGATGTCTTTAAAATAAAAATTAAAAAAAAAAAAGAGATTATATATACTGTTTCTTTAGGCTTGCCTGGCCAATTTTACTATTTGTCATTAAAAAGGGAAAAGTTACTTACCTTACATTTCTCAGCCTTGAGATTTTCTTTTCAGACTCTCATAACTGGGTCTTAGTCTCAAGGCACAAGACTAGCAGAACTTCCCCCTACCTTCTTACTATTTTCAGGATCCTTAATGGCAATGGCAGCAGGTAGGTGTGAACTACATTCCCTACTGCCGGTTACACTCTTCCAATTCCCAATATATGAAAAGGGGAAGGTTCCTCATTGTAACACACAACTGAAATACTGATGCCTCAAACAGAGCTGAGAAGATAGAACTCTGAAGATAGACAGTACTATTGAAAATGTATTAAGCTTGGGAAGTTAGAAGAAAATCCTGCAAGACAACACCTTCAAAGTTACTTTAGCATCTTCAGTAATACTATGTGTGAAGATTCTTAATCTTGGAAAGGGAAAATTTCATCTCATTGCAACTTACGCTCATCAGAAATTATAAAAATCCCAGCTAACAAGATTCATTAAAAAAATTAAACAGATTTCAACATTACGTCTATATCAAGAGATATATAAAAGAGAAATAACAGGTTTCCTATGTAACCAACAAGAACAAGGTCAGAGAAGGTACTCCCCTCTTCAGATGAACTATATAGGGTTTTGTTCATGTAAATGCCTGCAAGTTACTGTGACTATCCCTCAGTCCCTTCCTAAAGGGCTATTGTCAGATGACATTCAGTCAAACACAGGATATCCTGAATAAAATGTCGCTGATGGGAAGGTAATCATGTTCGGACCATCTTCACAAGAGCTAAAAACTAGATTTGGCTAAGTCAGCAGGACTTTCTCAGCAATCAAGAATGTTGCCACGATTTGTGGAAATAGATACAATAGCTTTCTTTTCTCCCCCCAGGAAAAGTTGAGAAAAACACATCTCCTTTTAACACAGCCTCTTTCCATTGCCACATAAAAATAATTGAGTAGCTTCTTGTTCAAGCAAAAATCACACGCAGTCTCATATTGATAAAGCAACGGATTCAAAGGACATCTATCAGACAATTCACAGATCATTTGAGAAATTTATTTGACAAAAATGTTCCTCTATATAGGTGCAAGAACACTAGAGACAAAACCCTCTTCAGAAATCAAGTTCTTTTGCAATTTTACGACATTTGTCTCCAGAATTCTTTGGAAAATTTCTGTTCTTTTACAAACTTCAGTATCAAAAACCTGGATAGAATTAGTCTGGGAGTTGGATACCATGGCTTTCAGAAGGGTTACAATTCACTAGAGATGTGAAGATCCTCATGAAGTACAGGCTTCCACAGAGGTTCTAGGTTCACAGAAGATTGTCTTCCTTGCAAACATAATGATTACAACAATGTACAAATACAGAGGTATTTTTACTGGTTGCAACAAGCTAACTTATCACTGGAGGTTTTTTTTTTTTTTTTCCTCCTGTCAGTATGGTGTTATTATGGCTAGGGAACAATTCACTAAGCTATTAAGTGATCTTCCTTTCTATCAAACTAATACTGCAGTAGAGGACATCTTAGAAATAAAAAGAAAAGTATCTTTACACTTGAATGACCTTCAAGACAACTAGACCAGAATCCTAAGACTGAAAACTGAGACTTCTGTTCACAGACACACTAACACAAAGTACTCTGTGCCAATTGCAAAGATCCCTGCTTAACAGTCAGCAGCAGCTGAAGAACTGCAGAACTGCAAAACAGAACAAGAACGGCTGAGGGTAAGTAACAAAAAGGTGAACAGAAAGAGCTCCAGAAGCATGCTGGGCACAGAAAGAGCAGAGTTGTGACTGATTAGAAACCTTTTTGCAGAGAACTCTCTTTTGGTCACAGTCAGGAATACACTAGATAAATCTGAAAGCTGAGCTCAGACGTAGCAAGCATCAGCAAGCAAACAGCTCAGGAATTGTTCAATGTTCGTACCTGCTCCCATTGCCTTTGAGGACCAAACAATCCTTAGAACTCAGGAGGTTTTTCTGACTCATGCAAGGGAGAGAAAACTTCATAGCAAGAGTGTTTTACAGCTGATATACTTTGAAAAGTCAGCATTTAACATTTATTATCTGCAACACCTACACAACGCTAAAGCGTTTCTCAACCACCCAGAGAGACAATCCATTGCCCTGCTCTTTACCCAATTCTCACTTAGATTTAGATATAGACTTCTAATTGGTCAACATTGTAAAGTTAAAAAAATACTGGATAAATTCATTTGACATACGGAACATGAAATATTGGCAAAATTTCAGTAATTCAAATACTTAAAACTGCAAAAGAAAAAAAAGTACTGTAATCTTTGTGAAATAAAGGTAGGTTAGCATCAGCAACAACAGCTTTGTCATATCAATTACCTTTTCAACTACTGAATTCTGGCAGGCAAGAGTAAGGCTACAGTCAAAAACATGCCTCCTTCTTCTTAAATGTAGGAGTTGTGCATGTATATGGTCAGGTATGCCCAAATAAATTTCAAGGATTTAAGTATTAATAGCAAATGGTCTCCTTCTATTAATTACTTTTTCCTTTTTAAAGGATATGTATATCTGTTACTCTGCTGTTTCAACTGACCTTAGAACTGCTGTATCTGGCAGTAAGGATAAATTGTTGATCCAGACTCCCACAAAATTAGCGTGTCCCTAGCTCTACTCTCTATGTACTACATTTTCAAACTATAGGAACACTGCAGTCCCCTTACCCTTCTGTGAAGCACAAATGAGAGCAGGAGTTCTGCTTTTCAAAATACAAATTTTCATCCCCGCACGGTAAGTAATTTAAGAAATTGACACAATCTGACATATTTTTCCTTAGAATGTTTTGTAAGTATTGTCATTATGAAGCTAGCTTTATAAATGCATTATAAAATGAATAAACTGGAATGAGTTGTTTCTGTCAGGTTTCCATTGTAATAAGGAATATAAAGAAACATAAAGATCATATTTCCAAAATGATTAAAAATACTGTTCAAGAGAATACCCTATATAATTAATGAAGGAGATACAGCATTCTTAAATGTCCTAATGAAAATGGGTTAAAAAAAACAGAATACACAAGAGGTCTTTGAAGACTGCTCATATAGTCTATCACCACAAACTGGAATAATAACAACATGCAGAAGCTAACACATTTTGTTATGTGTGTGGGAAAAAAAAAAGAAAAAAAAACCCAAAAGAGCTTTGAAAAAACCCTCCTTAAATCCAATCCCAAATACAAATAAAAATCTGTCTCAAACTCATGAATATTCATCTTCCTACATTCGCTACATTATACTACATTATAAATTGGTTATTCTCAGAACGTCTATGCAAATGAATGTAATTTGTGTTAAAAATAGGGTTGAGGAAGATGTAAAACTAAACAGGAAAACAACAGAAACTGTAAAATAGTTCAAATTATTTGTTAGTAAGTCACCTCTTTTGGATGGATGGCAAGTGACCCATACTTACTGTCCAAAAAGCAGACACAGTTTTTCTTTGGGAAAATGATGCTATTTGTACACTTGGACGTAAAGTATGTGTGCTGCTTTTCCAAAAACAAAAAAATGTCCAGAAAAGGACCAAAAAAATTTAAGAAAATTAACATGATTAAGATAAAGCCTGTGCTGCATCAATGACTACCATGATCCCGGTCTGCTACAGACCAGAATGGGAGTCACTGGGGACTATGAATCTTCAGAGAGAAGGCAAATAAATAAATAAATAAATAAACAAACAAACCCTAAATGATCAAAAGATTAACTTAAAAATAAAAAACTCAAGCAAATGGCTACATACGTAATCTGATTTCACCAGCATACTTACGAAGGATGACGTGGGTGATAACGAATGCAAATATAAAGACTGTCAGAAAGGACAGAGATAAAATAAACATATAAAAAAATCTGTAGTTTCTTTTCCCCACACAGTTGCCTACCCAGGGACAGTGGTGATCAAACCGTTCTGAAATGAGAGGCAGAAGAAAAAAAAATGGAAAACAATTAATAAGATGCTGCTTTATTTGAAAAAAGTTCTCTGAATACTATATTAGAACTCATGATTTAATCGGCATTTAAAAACCAGCCACAGAGAAAATTGTGAAATAGAAAAGAAAAAAGGAATATTTTAATGAAACCTTACAGCTTCTAAAGAAAAAGATGGCTGAGGTGAGCTTCTGTTAAACTAACAGCATTACGACAATAAACTGTGCAGTCCAACCAATAAACGTATATTTTCCACTGTCACATGGAACGGTACCAATTCAATTGCACTTTTCTTCCAGTGACTTTTCTACTCAAAATTGGGGTTTTTGACATTGTTTTATTTACATATTTCATGATCATACCTGTGTCGCTTATGCCCACCATCACATCATTCATCAAATATGGCATATGAAATATTTCCACCCTCCCCCTCTTCTTTTAGTATTTTACTCAAAACATTATCTATTCCAAACCTATTTTTCCACTTAGAATTGACACTGCCATACAAAACCATTCAAAGTAGTAAAATCAGTGACAAAAAAACATTTTTCAATGATTAAGATTCAGATCGCCTTGTAAAATTCATTTTCTCCTTTAGCTTTACAGGGGCTTTTAGGTGTTTTGGTTTTGTTAATTATCTGTTACATCTGGTGGGAATTCTGTGGAAACCACATGGTATAAGTTGGTAGATGCCTGAAAACTCCTATGTACCACTCTAGGGTCCCTCTTCTCTTCCTTACTACATCAAGCTCTTTCCTTTCATTTCTCTGCAAGATTAACTCATTAATGAGATGGAAAAAAGCCAGGGCAGTTCAGAAACAAGTCTCCAGAACATCAGGGAAATACCCCAGTGCTGGTGAACGTCGCAGGGAATAGTTAACTCTGCTGCTTGTGCAGGGTCTGGGGCTCCCTGTCCAGCCTGCAACCTCCCTGTTCCAATATGCCAGTTAATGAAAACAGAATGATTGTCAGGAAACCAAACAGCATTTCGTAACTTTGCTTTGGAGAGATTACGCTGACATAATGATAGAATTTTAAATTTTTAATCAAATCCAAGATCATAACTTAAGACAGATGCTCTCATGCTGACTCCCTCTCACTCTCTGATCCTTGGCCAAATTTTGTTTTGTTTCTCTGACTTTTATGCCTCCATTGACGTATGGTATCAGACTATTTGTAATTGCACAGGAAAAGCAAGCTATAAATTTGAAGTCCTTAAGCTCTATGTTAAAAAGGCACATCTGTTCAAACAGACTAGTTTATTTTAGCTATGGCTTTATGTTAAAGACCTACATGAGAGGTTTTCCTTGAAGGATGTGTTTAGGATTATCCTCATTAACAAAAGTCAAAGCAACATGCACTACAGATTTCTGAGTTCACAGGACTTTCAGGGATTTTTTTTAACTGGTTTTGCGTGACAGCTGTTTAAACCACAAGTTTCTGCCATAAATCTGTTTCAAATTCCAGCAGGGCTATTCAAGGTGAAGTTACTGAACTGTCTTTGGATAAGGCTTCAGAAATACTTTAATTTACTGAGTACTGCTACAAATACTGAGAATTAAGTACCTCAGATACCTAAAAGTGTCTACTATTACCTTTCCTTCAATGCAATACAGTGGCATTCCCCAAATAAGCAGACAGTGCATGTGAACAGTTCTACTTTTTACATTTGTGCTTCCAAATGAGTTCTTATGCTCTGCTAAACACTTTATTTAATGGGTATCTAATGCAACAGATAAGCATTTAGTACCACAAAATAAAATAAGAGTTAAAAAGCCTTTTAAAAGCATAATCCTAAGGTACTTTTGTACCCTACTGCTTCAGAAAAAAAATTCATGATCCCTTTTTGAAGATGCATTTAACATATATATTAATTCTCTTCTATGCTGAAACAGTAGGAATCAACAAATTCTACTGACATAAATCTCAGTGTCTAGCCATGAAACGGTATTCAGATACAGCAGATGGCTATACAATAAGGTTCAGATAAACGGAGACACACACACACACACACACATTCCCTACTGCAGACTGACTTGATATTTTAAACCTACTTGCCGCTCCTCTCCATTTCTGTCTTCAGACTTCCTCGGTAAGCTGAAAGGCTCTCTATTTATTTAAAATAAAGGCCTTACTAATCATTGTGAAGTTAAGTAACTAGCTATGATGTTACTGAAGCAGAAATGATGTTACTGAAACAGAAAACACTAGCTGAATATGAAAAACCCTTTGTAACAGTGTTAAAATTGAACAAACTCTGTAATAATGAGTATTATGAATGAATAAACTGGGCCTCATCTTTCCCACAGACAGTCACAAAAATCACAGAATGGTTAAGGTCAGAAGTGACCTTTAGAGATTGCTAGCCTAACTCCTCTGCTCAAGCAGGGTCACTTAGAGCAGGTGGCTTGCGACCGTGTCTCGTTGGGTTTTGAGTATCTCCAAGGATGGAGATGCCACAATCTCTCTGGGCAACCTGTGCCAGTGCTCAGTCACCCTCACAGTAAAAATTTCTTCCTTAGATACATATGGAATTTTCCGTGTTCCAGTTTGTGCTCGTTGCCTCTCGTCCTGCCACTGGGCACCTCTGAAAAGAGTCTGGCTCTTTACACCCTCTTTACACCCTTCAAATATTTATATGTATTGATAAGATCCTCCTGCAGCTTTCTCTTCTCTAGGCTAAACAATCCAGCTCTAAGAGACATAGCACTACAAATAACAAATAGCTCTAAAAATAACGAAAGGATTTGACATGTATGCTATATGCCACAAAACAGTATATTAAATAGTAAGGCATTATTCTACTCAGTTGACCACAAACATGTAAATGCAAGCTAAAGATAAAAGCCACCTAGTGGTACACAAGACAAGACTCGGATTTCCTGACCTTTGAACAAACTGACAATGGGCACTCAAATAGCTGCTTGTGATTTTTTCTGGAAAAGTTTTTTTTACCTGTTCATTCAGCCACTGAAAGGATAAGGCGGAAAGATACTTTCCACCACATTACACAAGGATCCCTAGAAGATCTAAAGAATCCTTTATCTCTTGTGGGAACTAGCAGTATTATTTTTTGGAATGCAAGGGGACTTTGAACTTAAAAATACCTATGATCCTAGAGCTTGTGAACCATTCTGGTTAGTTATTAATGCAAGAGAAAATTACTGGCAAAATGAGCAGACATATACTAAGCAGGAACTTCTAACATTATTAGGAAATATAAATTCTCTCTCTTAAGAGTAGAACACTTTCTTCTTCCTTATTATAAATCATAGCTAAATAAGTATTAATGAATAACAAAATATCTTAAGTTTCATCCTCAACATTTCAGAAACCTGCACACGAAACAGCCACCAGTCTGGAAAGGCAAGCTCTGCCTGACATCTTGGCTTGGTTTGGACAGTGCTGGCAGCAAAATTAGGATTTACCTTCATTGAGAAATGTAAAAACAATAATACTGAGAGAAGTTGGGGATTATGGCCTTGTTGACTTAAAATGCAGTGCAAATATAAATGCAACTGACCTGTGTTACAAAGAATCACAGACTGTTTGGAGGTGATGGTCGGTTGGCATTTTGGCTTCAATTTGTAGTCTATCCTTAATATAGTTAATATGCTGTTGCATTAAATCATATACTTGTACCAAAGTCAATGCAAAAATATTTGCAGTAAATGAGAGAATCAAAATATTAGTAATACAAATGGTTGTTGGTAAAAAGTATATTAGAACCGTTAACGTGAGAGGCCTGGAGAGTTTGTCTATGGAAGCATCCCAGCGACAGAAAAGTTCCTGGGATCACCCTCCTGCACTCTCAAGCAAAATGAGAAAGGCATTCACTTCAGGACGTGATACAATGTTACAGCCATACCGCCCTAATAGCAAACTACTGCTGAAAAGGACGGTCCTGCTTCCTCCCTTTTAGCATCCTGTGAGCAGCCTCTTTCGCTGCGCCAAGATTGATGTTCATTTTACCCCTTGGGGAGCTGGTTCAGGGAGCCAGAGTAACTGAAAACCAGGGTTAATTTTATGTTGCTTAGTTCCACAAACCAGCTCAAAGCATCAAGCGCCAAAACTGGCACAAAGTGCACCAGTGAGAATATGCTGCCCAAGAAAAAAGTAAACAACCCCTTCAGAGACAGTTACGTGTTAATTCAGCTTAATTGTAACACCAACCACATTACTGGTTAACACGTATCAAGAAATCCAGTTTTGACTAATTCTTCAGAGCGTGAAAAGAAGCAGAAAACAAGAGACCAAGAAAATAGGTGAACAGTTTATAAGGTGAAGTATCAATGAAGAGAAGAGACAGGTACATGGAGATCAGAAATGCTGCTGTAAAGACCACACAAAACCAAAGACGTAAGAAACCTCAAGAGACATCAGGAAACCTCCAATATTGATTATTTTACTAGTTTTTCCTATGTCATCAATAACGTAGAATTTGGATAATAACTTCTGCGTATAACGTCAGCACCTTCATACCCAAATCTAAGCGTGACGTTATACGAGAGAACTGAGGCAATCTAACAGCCTGTTGGTAGTGAAAAAAGACAGTCACAAGCTGACTTTCCTTTGTCCTGCTTCCTTTTTACCTTATCTAAGCTACTGATGAATCAGGTCAGTTAACTAAATTGTCAGTAGAGGAAGAAAAAAAAAAAAAAAGAGAAGAATTAAGGCAGAAGAATTAAGGAGGAAGTTAGGAGACTGTCCCTTTGGAAGCCATAAGCTGTCAGCATGACTAAGTAGTCCTATTAAAACTCATCTAATAATATATACTAACTGGATGATAGAAGAGTGTACAAGTTATATCATACTTCAGATATTCCTCTCACTTTTTACCTCCCCCTGAAATATTTACATTTGTGAACTTGCTTAAGAAATATTAACTGCTAGGTATCTAAGATAAAAACAGAAATGAGAACAGCTCCTATTTTAATAAGCAATGGCATGTTTGGGCTTTATAGATGTGGAGTGTTTCTT